TTGGTGGATATGTTTCAACCATGGGGGCATCGGTTCTATGGCACACACATCTCATTCGTAGCGTACCTGTGTTGTATTTTTCTAACATCATTCTGGATATGTTGAAGATTTCCTGTTTTAATTTTTTTTTTCTAATTGATCTTAATTCAAATAACGGAGATAATTCCGATTATACTTTTCTCTTGTTTTATGGAAGATTAAGATTATGTTTGAAAAAAATGATTATTATATTTTTTATATCTTTACGTATATCAATTATTTATTAAAAAAAATTAAATTTTACATTTTTTTTTTTAAACTTACAAATAATAATTTAAATTATAATTCATTATATTAATTAATGAAAAAATTTATTATAATATAATTCATCATCGCTTAATTCAAGTTGAAGTTGCGTGAATAATCATGTGAAATTTTGTTCAAACTGTTGTTTTTCTATGTGTGAACAGAAATGGGATCGTCTGTCAGCCAATTTTAACAGGGCTACGAGAAATTTTTGAAGTTTATTTTATATGACGTGGTAAGAAGCTGATGGACTGGAGAAATGACGAGTCCGACCACTCCAGCGGTTTGTGACTGTTTCTCGTATATCGTGAATCCTTCAGTTCCATCGATAATAAATCGCGTCCTTTCTTTTATGAGTAGTTGAAAATTTTGCATGGGACGAGAGAAATTTTTTGTCGAAAACTATGAGCGATATATGTTTATCAGTGGCATTAGGATGTAATGTTTGCTCTCAAGGAGTACAGGTTTACATAGTTTATTCATTGTTGAAATATTTATTTATAACGGAATATAAATTATTAGTTTTTGAATGAAAATTAAAAGTTTTGGAATTAGGCGAATTTCGGCAGCTGTAAAGAGTCAAGAAGTTTTACATCAGCTCTCGAACGTCTAGAATTAGAGGCAGAAATTGAATCTAGAAATGATACGATACCGCTACGTCGAACAAGTGATGCGCAAACTGAGCCGTCTGATGATACTGATCAAGATTTGTTCGGCTTGAATGCTAGAGATATGTTACCTTATAGAAAAAATGTTCAACATTCTGACATTTTGAATTTTCAAGTATGACGTCTAGATTTTAACATTTATTTATAAAATAATGCCAAAATTAGCGAAAATTAGATATGAATTTTAGGGTGTTATGCATTCGCCAGAAGATATTGCTCGTTATTGGAAGAAAGATTCACGAATGTGGCTTTGGAAATCTGTAAAGCTTATGCGAAGAAAGAATAAATTAAAATCATCTAATATGTGTGCAATAAATATAGAAAAGGAAGAAGAATAATAATTTGAATATTATCTACAATTTCATATATAAAATTCTTTACATTTGAACTGCTATTTTAATCGTTCATATTATTATTTTAAATTGATTATATTTTTCTATCAGTGTATATATTTTCTCTCTATATATATATATTGAATAATAATTTTATTAATTAATTTTTATTTTATGGAATTTATATATAATTTCTCAACTGTTTCATATATATTTATATTTATAATAATTTATGTAATGCAATAATTTCGGTATTTTACTTATACATAATAATACGAATAAGATATTTATATATTTTTTAAAATAAAAATATAATATTTATATACAAAATTTATAAATGAAGATATACATTAAATATATTAAACAAATATTATTCATTTTAACCACAAGTTTCTATAGAATCTAATGACTGTCTATTTTCAAATGTTTCACCCATTTCAAAACGTACAAAATCCAAGATTTCAATTTGTTCATTTTGTACTAACTGTTGTATAGAGACTGTAGGATCAAACAAAAATTCTTGAAACAACATAATAGTTTCATCATCTATGTTGTCTAAAGGTTGATCAATTTTTGGATTACCAACTTTTATTGGATTCATACCTAAATTAAAACACATATTATTATAAACATATATTTTCATAAAAAAAAACATAAATTATCTTAATAATAAATATAATTACCAATAATATGTTGACAAAGTTGCATTCCCAGCATTTCCTTTTTTTTATCAGATTTTAAAGCCAGTAATGCTCCATATCTTCCAAAAGATGATGGTACTGGATTTAGAGGAGTAGGATGCGTACAACCATATAGATGTACATCTGGTTGCACACTCATACATATCGCACGTCTTATATTGATATTTTCTCCTATAATCCCAATGGTTAAAGCAGAATGATCACTTAAACTTTTGCCATCTTCAGCGCATAGTTTATTTATCGATTCTGTACATAACATAGTTTTTTTGACCAATGAATCTTGATCAACTGTCATTCCATATTTTAACACAGTGGTAAGTATAATCTGTGCTAGATCATGGAATTTTTTATTCCTTGCTACAAAGTCTGTTTCACAATTTATCTCAACAAGTGCTCCATGATTTTTGTTAGTGATCATTGCTATTAATCCCTCAGAAGTTATTCTAGATTTTAATTTCAATGCTTTATTCCAACCTTGAGATTGAGCCTGCTCATTTAACCATTCTTCAGCCTATAACATTTAAAAAATTAACAATGCTCTTGTTATAGTAACCTAACTTAACCTTGTTAAGTATTTTACCTTTTCAAAATTATTGTTATGTAGCTCTAAAGCCTTTTTACAATTTACAAATGCATATCCAGTTTTCTTACGCAGCTTGCTTAATAATGTTTTTTTCGTAGAATAACATAAAACATAATTTGTATGTATCGAACGAAAAAATTGATGTGAAATCATCTGAAACATGTCACTTGTGTTATTTTATGTAGAAAAAAATTGAAAAAAATTTAACATTAATAAGACCTAACCTAAAAATGTTTCAATTTTATTTTGATTTATATTTTATTATAAATTATTATAAATGCAAAATATTATAAATAATCATATATAATTTTAAAAAATATTTTCATTTAAAATTTTTTATAAATTCTATAGAAACCAATCAATTTCGTTGCCTAGAAACTGCAGTCAATTGCAGTCAAGAGTATTGTCTATTTGTAATCTAAAGATAAATGTATAAAAGAAGATTATTAAGCATTTTGTTTTAAAATATCATATTGTATCATTATTATTGGAGGTTTTAATAATTTGAAAAAAATATTATTTTGTAATATACTTACTTCGTATACGATTTAAAAATGAAAATGTAATTCAACTATCAAAATTGATTCCGAAAGTGGCGCCATCTGTAATAATACGAAATTCAATTGCAAGGTAGTAATTAATATTAATTTTTTTTTAACGTTTCATTGTAATTATATTCAATCTTTGATCTATTTATGTTGAAATTTTAAAATGATACATTAGATGAACATAATTTTATATATAATTTTTATTTTTAATATCATAGTATCTTTTTCAATTCTTTTTCTCTCTCATAACAAATAGCAGCATGGAATGCGAATGTATCGATGTGGAAACGTGCGAGGGTATTTCGCATCCGGTGTTTAAAAAAAAACGCGTTAAAGATGTGCAAAAAATTTCAAAAGTAATTGATAAAATTGAGCCATTATTTACTTTACCACCTGAATTAATGAAATGTAATAGATGTAAACAGAAAAAGAAACGATTAGATAACAAATTCGAACAAACTTATACAAGAAAACGATTAAAAATAGAAAATTTTCGAAGGTCGGTTAATTATTTGATCTTTTGTTAATTTTTTATTATTTTTCTCGCAAAGGAAAATCTTACAATAAAATATTAAACTAAAGTTTAAATTGATTATTATTATTTATAGATTGATGGTCAGTTTAATCGTTAAAACTGAATTACCAGAAATAGATATAGATTTAAATAATGATCAAGATATAAACCGATATTATAATTATATTTACAATGGCGTTAATACTTTTCATACGCAAATTCAAGATGACACTATAGAGAAAATATTAGGTTTAGTTCCATACTATTTGAGAGATCGATTCAATTATTACATGGAAGACTTGTTAATCGAAATTAAAGATATGTATACAAGGATTATGAAGAAAGCGATAGTGGAATACGCACTTCAAGATCCCATGGAATATTATTTACTAGAGGTTCGATTAAAATTATTTTATTTTATTTTCGATTTAAATATATTTTTTATAACTAAAGTTCTTCAATATTTTATATTGTTATTTTATACGTATGCGCGCATATATTTATTTCATAAAAATATTTTTTGATTTAACAGCAAGAAACTAGAAAAAATTTGCTTAGAATGATATATTTTTTAACTCGATCACCAATTAATGTTCAAAAACTCTGTGAATATTTACAAGATCAATTATTTCTGATAAATCCTTGTATGAAGATGACTTTAGATTTCTGGATTCGCGATTTCAGGTAAAAAATTATTCATTTTTCCTATTATCATTTTGAAATGGAAATAAATTTCTTTCAGCAACTTTCGATTGATCGATTTAAATACAATCATCGAGCATGAAGACAGTTGGGATTTGATGGAATTTAAAAAAATAATTGGTAAAGAAATCATGAAAAATAGAAATATATTAAAGGATGTTTGGTACGCTGGAATCCAGAATATATTTCTTGCGGTAAAATTTTAACAATTATTATTTTTAATTATATATTATTCTCATAAAATTTGTAATGGTTTATTTCTCAACAGAATAATAAGAAAAGTTTGATTCCCAGTCCATTGAAACGTATACGATTCAGAAAATTCTACGAATGCATTGCCAAAATAATGGAACAACAGCTTTTGACAATGTGTATATCTACCTTGAAAGATTTTATAAATTTTATTATTCATGGCCAGGTGAACTATTTAATGATAAAACGACATAAAACGAACTATACAATAATTATACATTATTTGCAGCCAATTAAATGTGAATTCAACATAAATATAGTTGTCAGTTCAAAACAGCTTATTTTTAGTCCAAATTTTGAAGATTTTAAGAACATTTTATGTAATATATTAAACGAAATATGCATAGGTGTTAGATTCTTCAAGAAATTAGAAACTGAGCTTTACGTGGATTGGTCTGGTGAAGAAGGTTTTTTAGAGGTATAAAATCTTTATTATTACATTCATTATTCAAATATTATATTAAAATTATTCTTTTCTATATATATATATAGCCATACATAGAGATGTCTATGATAGAAGAACAACAGAATAAGATCATTGATTTGATCGATCGAGAAAAATGCATTCCAGAAAAGTTATTGTTAAAATTACAAAAGTAAGGATCAATTTTTATTATTATTGATATATATCTGATTCATAATTTTTATATATATTATTAAATTTATTTTACAGATACGAATATTTGTACAGCGAGTATGAGTATAGTTTAATGGAAATATTTGTAAAAGACGAGATGAAACAATTAGATGAATATAACGAGCTTATAAAAAAGTATCATATTCTTATGTTAAATTTTCCCATGAGAATTCAAAAGACAGCATTTACGGGATTGTTTAAGGTATCTCGAAAAATTTTCATCGAGACGATTGTCGAGTATGTTAATAATATAAAAATTCTTCTCATTAACTCGTTGATCGAGAGATACCAAAATATCGCCAAGGAGTAAGTATCGAATTACAAGATTACAATTACAAAAAAAAAAAATAAAAAAAACAAAACGGCAAAAAAATTTTATTCATGGATTATTTATGGAGGATAAATAAAAAAAAAAAAAATAAAAATATCACAACGTCAATAAAATTTATTCATTGTATAATTAATGACGATAAATTAAATAAAATAAAATTAAATAAATAAATAAAATAACGATTTAGAGTTGCAGAACAATATCAAATGATATCTGACCGTGCTTTGAGCACGCCTAATAATACAGCCGAATTGGTAGTGCTTAAAAATTTTATTAAGATGATTTTAGAAGTCACTTTAAAAAATTTGGAAGACAAACTCCGCGAAATAATCGAACATATCCTGATATTGTCCAATTATCACTCTATTACGGATAACGAGATATATATCAACAACATTACGTTTCAGTGGTACCATAAGATACCTCATATTTTGGAAGAAAACGAATCCATCGTTGGATATAAGACGTTAGAATTTCAACAGGCATTAAGAGGTGTGCTAGATTTGAAGAGATTTGAAAAGAAACGGGAGAGAGATGCGTATAAATTGACGATTCTTTCTTCTTTTAATAGTTAGGTATATTAAGTTCGAAGAGGAATTGGAATCTTGCGCGAAACAAGTGGATGAGATCGAAAATTGGGGGGATATCGCGGAGGTTTACAAATATCAGAAAAAGGCACAAGTTTTGGAAAATCGTTTGATCGCTGCTATGGATAAGATCGATAAGTTTAACGAAGAGGAAGCTGCGTTCGGTTGGGAAATAACGCAATATCCGCGTCGCAAACAGATAGCTGATCAATTAAAACCCTACAAGCAACTCTTTGACGTGATTTGCGATTTTTTGACTAAGCACGATAAATGGTTATACTCGATGGTCGGTACATATTATCCCGAGGAAATTGATAACGATGTAGGAGTAGCATTCAGGTCGATATATTTTTAATATTACGATCTTTTATTATAGAAATGGGAATATTTCCCCTACTGATTTCACGCTTTAATGCAACAGATTGATCTACAAATTGGAGAGAAGTTTTCAAGAGCCAGCTTTGAGACAATTGGCGGCAGGTGTACGGGATAAAATAGAAGATTTCAGGGAACAAATGCCGATCATTTACACGCTCGGCAATCCGGCGTTGAAGGAACGTCATTGGGAACAAATTTCGGCGATCATAAATATTCCTATAAAAGTCGATGTCGATTTAACCTTGGCGAAGATCATCGACATGGGACTACTCTATCTCGTCAGTCAGTTCGAGAGCATCTCGGATAATGCCTCGAAGGAGGCCACGTTGGAGAAGGCTATGGATAAGATGGAGAAGGATTGGGCCGATTTATATTTCACCGTTAATCCTTTCAAGGACACTGGTACCTACGTCATCGCTGGTGTCGACGATATACAACTTCTTCTGGACGATCACATCGTTAGAACAGTTACCATAAAGAATTCGCCAAACATAAAACCGTTCGAAGAAAGAATACTGTGAGAAGATTAATCAACGGAGGAAATTGGGAATGACGACTGATATAAATATTTTATACGATCATTCGATGCGATAAAATCTTGTATGGATAATCCATGTATAAAATATTTTTATAACATCGGTTGTCATTCTCCTTATATTTGAAATCACTAGAATTTAACAAATCCGATCCGTGTTGTGAACCGTAGGAAATGGGAGTATAAGTTGCATTTGCTGCAAGATATTTTGGACCAATGGCTCCGTGTCCAAGCAATCTGGATGTACTTGGAGCCGATCTTTACATCCCCGGATATTCAACAACAGATGCCAGAGGAGGGGAGAAAATTCTCCGCTGTGGACAAAACTTGGCGCGACATTATGAAGACTGTTTACGCTGATTCTAGGGTTTTCGCGGTCATCGAGATCGATAAGATGTTAGAGCGGTTAAAGAAGAGTTACGGATTGTTAGAGGATATCCAAAAGGGTTTGAACGAATATCTGGAGAGGAAACGTCTCTTCTTCCCGAGATTCTTCTTCCTGTCCAACGACGAGTTGTTGGAAATTTTGTCCGAGACGAAGGATCCTACTCGGTAATGAAAATTCACTTTTATAACTTTTCGTCCCGAGGAAAAAAATATCGAACGAAATATTCGATGGAATATTCCCAAGTAAGAAAATCGCTCGAATTGCGTTATATCCTTTAGCGTGCAACCACACTTGAGAAAGTGTTTCGAGGGAATACATTCGTTGAGGTTCGACGAAGATCTCGAAGTGCTCGCTATGCGGTCAACGGAGGGTGAAGAAGTAGACCTGATAGAGGCGATATCCACACTGGCTACGAGAGGACAAGTAGAGAAATGGCTGATCGAGTTGGAAAGAATTATGAGACTGAGCGTAAGGAACGAAGTGTATCTAGCTATACAGGCGTATCCCACGAAAGAGAGGAGATTGTGGGTTTTGGATTGGCCGGGACAAACGATACTCTGCGTCGGTAAAACGTACTGGACTCTACGCATAGAGCAATCCATGTTGCTCGGTATAGAAGGTCTGAACAGATACTTGGAGCAGTGTCAGAGGGAATTGAACGAGATCATATTGCTGATCAGAGGCACATTGACGAAACAGAATCGCATCACTCTAGGTGTGGCTCTCAACATCAAATTTCTATTTTTCTTTTCCTTAATAAATTTCTTTTAAAAATTCTGACCGTATTAATACAACGTATAACACGATTATATTATAATTGCAGAAGCCTTGGTCACGTTGGACGTCCACGGGAAAGACACTCTCGCGGGATTGTGCAAAGAGAACGTGGTGAAGAACACAGACTTTAAATGGTTGTGCCACTTGCGCTATTATTGGCTGGTCACTATCGCTGATTTCACCAACCATTTTTTTCGCGATTATAAGATGATCAACGCGAGAATATATTTTTTTTTTCAGGAAGACAACATGTGGGCTTACATGATAAATTCAAAGCTACGTTACGGCTACGAATATCTCGGCAATTCGTCGAGATTAGTGATCACCCCTTTGACAGATCGATGCTATCGAACGTTGTTCGGTGCCCTGCACCTTCACCTGGGCGGTGCACCGGAGGGTCCGGCCGGAACCGGCAAAACGGAAACGACGAAGGATCTGGCGAAAGCAGTTGCCAAGCAATGCGTCGTTTTCAATTGTTCCGAGGGTTTGGATTATCTCGCCTTGGGAAAATTCTTCAAAGGATTGGCCTCTTGCGGCGCTTGGTCTTGCTTCGACGAATTCAATCGTATCGACTTGGAAGTTTTGTCGGTGGTCGCCCAACAAATCCTAACGATTCAACGGGCCATATTAAGCGGGGCGGAGAAAATCATTTTCGAGGGTACCGAGATCTTCTTAGACCCTACCTGCGCCATCTTCATCACCATGAATCCCGGTTACGCGGGTAGATCCGAGTTACCGGACAATTTGAAGGCGTTGTTCCGCCCTGTTACCATGATGGTGCCCGATTACGCGTTGATCGCCGAGAACACTCTCTACTCGTACGGATTCTACAACGGCAGGCCTTTGGCAGTTAAAATCGTCACAGCTTACAGGCTTTGCTCCGAGCAGTTGAGCAGCCAGCATCATTACGATTACGGTATGAGGGCGGTGAAGTCCGTGCTGATCGCTGCCGGCAACTTGAAGCTCAGATATCCCGAGGAATCGGAGGATATCCTGATGCTGAGAAGCATAATGGACGTGAATCTGCCGAAATTCTTGGTTCACGATCTACCGCTTTTCGAGGGTATCGCGTCCGACTTGTTCCCCGGTGTCATCCTCCCGCCTCCGGATTATACCCACTTGAACGCTTGCACGTTCGACGCATGCGCCGCTGCCAACATCCAATGCACCAGTTTCTTCCTGGAAAAGATACACCAGATATACGAGATGATGATAGTCAGGCACGGTTTCATGATCGTCGGCCTGCCTTTCGGCGGGAAAACCTCGGCTTACAGGATGCTCGCGGGCGCTCTCGGATTGTTGGAGGATCGTAAGCTGATGAACGAGCACCGGGTCGAGATAACGGTTATCAATCCGAAGGCGATCACGATGGGCCAATTATACGGCCAGTTCGACCCGGCCTCGCACGAATGGACCGACGGTGTCCTCGCTGTCAGTTACAGGGCTTTCGCCACTTCCACCAATCTGAATAGGAAATGGTTGGTGTTTGACGGCCCGGTCGACGCCCTCTGGATCGAGAATATGAACACCGTGTTGGACGACAATAAAAAGCTTTGCCTCACCTCCGGGGAAATTATCCAACTCGCGCCCACCACCAACTTAATTTTCGAGCCCATGGACTTGGAGGTAACCGAGTCGAAATTCTCCATTTCTTTTTTTTTTTTTATTCCAAGATGATGGTTTGGATGATTGTCGAGGATAATCGACAGGTCGCGTCACCTGCCACGGTGTCCAGATGCGGGATGATTTACATGGAGCCGGTCAGTTTAGGTTGGATGCCAATCTTGATTTCTTGG